TATCTGTTGGATACCACACTTAGGATACCAAACCCTATCTGTTGGATACCACACTTAGGATACCAAACCCTATCTGTTGGATACCACATTTAGGATACCAAACCTTATCTGTTGGATACCACACTTAGGATACCAAACCCTATCTGTTGGTTCGGGCCCGGATTCTTAGGGTAGTATACCTACGATGTCGTCCATCACCTGCCGCCCGAGTGTCTGCGTGCTCATGGCGCGTGGCGACGGTGAACTCGTGTGGGGCTCGTGGAGGATGTCTATTTTGAACGGAGCCAGGCGCGGCAGGCGCGGTGTGGAATGGCGCGTGGCACACGTGGCCACACATGAAATGTCAGATCATGATGACTGGCAGCATATTCAAAAATGGAACAGCTCATGCAGGTTCCAAATAGTGTTTGTTTCTAATCTTTTTCAACATGAAAGATAGAAAAAAACACTTCTACCTGAAGCTCCAAAGCACCAACCCAATACCCCATTCGCGCCAGGGGTGAGTGTTGGACGTATGATGACCTATGTGCCCATCTTGTGTGGTATCACGCTCCATAATCATCCTACCCTAAGAATGATCGGACCCTCCTATCAAGGTTTTGACCCATAGCAGGGGTTTGGACCCTGAAAACCTTCAGCTTTGAGGGTCTTTGGACCCTCAAAGGGTGGAGTAGATAGAATACCAATGAACACCCCACCCACTTGATCCCAGGACATTTGCTCAACAAAACTGTAGTCCGGCTCCTCCAACATCCTTCGTGATGTTTGCTATATCTTGGCATCAAATACCCATACACTCCATTTGACTGGAATTTATGCCGCCCCATTGACCTTTGTGGAACCACCCCAACTGATCGGCATATCTGGCAGTCCCAGACGGGTCGCGTCTGGGATATGCTTTTGAGTCAAGACTCAACGTCTGCTGCGAAACGACCAGTCCGTCCGTTTTTCGCGAGTGAACGACCTTCTTGAGGTAAGTCGTGCCATTTGTCCATCTCCTGCATGGTGACCCATAGCCATCTTCCCAGGACCCTGGCATAATACTTCTCTTATATGTCCCATGTCTAGAATCCCATGCAAACCACAATACAAGGAACCAGGGGCCCTCGTTCGGTATATGGTTTTAGTCTTTGAATAAAGCAAAAAAAACTGATCCGAAGTCGTATGCCAGTCCCCTGATGGAGTGTCTGGTGAAGCAGGTTCATAAATGACTGACATACGGACTCAAAATATCAGACTAAGACCGTATGCCAATGTGACCCACGTCTCTCACTAGATGGAAGGTATGGCAAATACACGTTTCGAACTCACCAGAAGACCATGACCTAGCTGGGGTCACAAGTTGTGGCACATGCCTCCTACAGTCCTCCTACTCTAGTACAACATCCTGTGTCGCTAGGAGGACTGTGCCTGGTTACGTTTTTTTTCACCTGTTGGGCTACCGGAGAGAGGGTTTCGAGGTTTAGATGGGTGTAAGGTTTGGTTTGAGACACCCCTATCTTCCCCCCGCCACGATGGCCTCCCCTTGGCTACGACAGACCTAGGACGCGCTCCGCGTGGACGAATATGTTTGGGTGGAACTTAGGAGAATGGAAGGACCAAGGAAGGATGGTGTTGGGAAACAGGAACAGGGTAGAGGTCTTGACGAGGATCGTTCAACCGACGCGTGGCCCGGTGATTCTGGCGAAAATACGCTCTGCAGTGTGTTCATTCCAGGTGGTTTGGGTTTGCAAGAATTTGAGTCTGTACATAATATGAACTTGTAAAGTCTTATTTGAATCTGTATGAATTCTTGAGTTTGAGGAATGCACTTTCTGGATGTTAAACCTCTTTGGTTCTTTATGATTCTTTTATTACATGGCATACAATGCCGAGTTGTGTGTTCGGTCGGGGTTTTGCCCGCACCACAAGTCGACAAACCAGTCGTGGCTTTCTGTGTCGTTGCCAAAGTGTGTGTGTGTGTTTCTCTGTTTGTTTGTCTTTTTCCAGAGTCCAGCTTGAAACACCGCCCTGGCCATGCCCCACATTTCTTCCCACACACGGTCACAGGTACCAACAAACTCCTCGTCTGACTGTCAGACGAGCAATTCGAGAAAAGAATTATCAACAAAAGTAGACACTCAGACCTTCGTCCCCACATTACCCCCACGCACACACACTGGTGTCCATCTCCCACTCGCTTCGCTCCGTGAAACGGCACATCTCTCCAAGGGGCGCAAAGCCGCTGGACGCCCTCCTGCTGCGAGGCGCACTTCGAGGACATGCGGCGGCCTCGTGCGCGCCGAACCCTCGCGCGGAACCCTCGCAGCTTGGGAGCGAAGGAGTGTCCGCTGCCGAAGGAGCGACGGAGCGAGGATGTGTCTGGATCCTGCCCTGCAGTGGATTCTTCCTCCCACTTGAGACACGTGGAACGCCATGCTACTAGCCAAGCTGTAACCTACGGGTAGATGTCAGCCTCTGCCCGAAAACATCGCAAAAACACATGGTCACACATCCCAAAATTTCACCCAGAAGCCTGTGATTTACTGGTAGATGTCAGGCCCCAAAAGATCTCTCCGTCCGCCGTCCCCAAGTCCGGGCGGCCTTCGAGCTGCTGCCCGGGGCCTTTGATCAGGGGAGCTCCAGCGTAGCAGTCCCCGGACCTGACGCTTGGAGAGGTGGGCATTCTCTTCCCCAAGAAAGAAAGTCAACCTGAACTGCATGGGAATGTGAGGCAAACCCAAGGTACTTCGTTTTCACCTTGGACATTTGGACGTTGGGACGTTGGAACCTTGAACCACCGTCCCATCATCTACCAGATGCCTGGTCTACCACCCCTGGATGAAGGCAAGGAATGCAAGGAATTCAGGCGTCATGTGAAATCTCGAGAGAGCGGACCTTGAAACCTGTTGCATCGTTCGCCACCCCAATAGAAAATAGATGAGCTGTGCAGGCACCAGAAGCACGGCTTTCCTATCCGGCGGAATTGCGAGAGAAAACATGCGAAATGAGACCTAGGACTTTTCCAGTTCTCACAGGAAAAAGGTGCGGATTGCTTGTCCCCAAGTCAGAGATGTCAGCAAAAATACATACAATCTTTTACCCAAGCGATCCATGGTGGCGCAAATATCGCCTACATTTGATGGTTTTTGGTAATATTTACTTAGATGGATGCGATGCCTCGCATTGATTGGGACATCGAAACATTGTATCGATCGAAGCATTGGATTGTTCCTCTGAGTCTCACATGGCTGTGGGTCGTTATGACACCCGGAGCCCCAAAAACTGGTAGGTTGACCTCCTGTGGCTCGTCATGTTCACTAGTGGGTCGGGTGGTCTCCCGGTTGAAAGACCCAGAGTCACAGTGTTTGAAGAGCAGAACACTCGAAATCCCCAAGCCCTCACAGCAGTCCGCCGCACCTCATTTCCAGACCAGGGAAAGCGCTGGAGTCTGCCTCACATCGCATTGCATGCCTTGTTTCTTTGTTTTTTTTCCCATGACTTCTCCAACTTAACAAGTGGGAACTTCTGTTAATTAATTAGTCTATTTGAGCTCTTGGTAGCTCATGTCTTTATACAAGTTCTCTCTTCAGGTCCCTTGATTGATCCCTTCAGTGACACGCTCCTTGCTGTTCCAAACATGTTTACTGTTTTATAGTTTTGCAGGTCTAGACGTGCGTTCGACCACTGCATCACGTGGGAAACCGCCTTCTTACTCGAAGTCTGATCGATTTGCACTTGTATGGCCATCATTCATACACTTTGCTGGCCAAATCGCTCGCATTCAGCGAAAACACCGCCGATATAGGTGTGTAGCTCAGGGCCCGGGAGACCTCCCAGTTCGACCTCCTTTCCAGGTCGCCGTCTTTCAGCGATTCTTTGGCACTTTGGCACTTCTTCAGGGCCCAACTTCTCAGGATGTGGATGACGTGTCGACGCTCACTGATCAAATCGGATCAACCCCAAAATCGGGTCGCGGTGTCAAAACCCCAATCCATCAGAGCTATATCACACTGTCCATTCTGGAGGGGGGGGTCTTGACAGTCAGTTTATAGACATGAAATGGTGGTCCCAAACCTGCAGGGTAGTCTAAATCATAGAAGCTGAGAAAATTTGGAAAATCCTAAAATGACCTTACCTGAGGTCATTTTCCAAGCATGAGTGTACCATTTGAAGCAGTAAACAGTCTTTTCCTGAACGCTCAAATTCTTCTCTAAGTCTAGTGTCAGACTTGGTCACCCCAGCATCCCAAAAACTTCCATCTTTGAACATTCAAAAACTGTCCAACACAACAGCCAAATCGGAAGCAACAAAGGAAGACACAGTTCTCCTATGTTCTCCTCATCATCAGTTGTGGGTAAGGTGTGGCAAGGGGCAGATGGCAAGAGGTCAGGACACCCATGGTATAAAGGTATTGGGTGGGAGGCCAAACTGATTCATTAGGAGGGCCCTGGAACAGGGCTGGGAAGCACACTGGAGGAAATCTGGAGGAGTGCCTCTGGCAGGTGGCTAAGGTGTGGCGAGGGGTAGAAGGCAAAAAACCTTTAAAAAATTGGTGAGTAGAGGAGGTATTGGGTGGAAGGGCCAGACTAATTCCTTAGGACGGCACAGGGCTTCAGGGCTTGAATGCTGGTGATGCCAAAGAATAATAAACGCATTTCTAACACGACCACAACATACTGCATGGTCCAAAAGCAGGGATCGAATGATGATTTGCTAGCACCTCTGTAGCACCTCTGCGTTTACTGTTTCTACTCCTTCACCAAAAGGCTCGAATTGCTGGTGATGCCAAAGGATAGGAATCGCAATTCTCACATGACCACCACATCATGCATTGTCAAAAAGCAGGGAACGAACCATGAGTTGCCTAGTGGTAGAAGGCAAGAAACCTTTAAGAAATTAGTGAGGAGAGGTCAGGACGCCAATTTTAGAGAGGGATTGGGGCGCTGGAGTATGCCTGGGAAGAAACATAAAGAAACCATATAAGATTGAATCTAAGGACTGCAAACGAACTGGAAGTGTGAAAGAAAACATTGACAAACTATGCTTGGGAGGGGTCAGGACATCCATTTTGGAGAGGTGTGTGTGGGTGTTAGACTGGCAGACTTACAGGGTAGTGAGAACTGTAAAAATAGGTTTGTTGGGGGTCCATATGAGGTTTTTATAGAAGCAGCACCGCTGGGTGTGTTTTTCCTGATCGTGCCAGGTGCCAGGTAATTCCACGCCGGGCAAACAGTTCTTCCTCCAAGCATTCAACAGTTCTCCTCATCCTTCCTCTTTATTTTTAGTTTTCATATAGTTTGAAATATATTGTTGTTTTTGTTCATCTCACATTCATGCCACATCATGGTGCTTGAAAAGTAACAACTCTATAAAATGATGTCCTGACCCCCCAGCAGGTGGCGGCTCCAAAACGTTTTATATGAGGCCGACCCCCGCATTTCATAGAGGAAATGGGCAGGATCGAGCTCTCAACTGAACCAGATCTCGCACCTCGATGTGAAGCGACCCGACCCGCGGGTTCGACCAGGTCTACCCCACCTGGTGGACCTGGGACCCACCCGATCCAGCGCAGTGAATCGGTCCGTGCCTTGTCATGGCAGTGAACACATCGGAGCAGCTCCTTGGAGTCGGACTTGACTCATGGACCTGGCCTGGTATGGCCTGGTGGGTTCACCTGGAAGGTCGTTCTGGTCCACTTCCGTTCGGGGTTTCTGGCCTGGTGCGTCATGAGTGGGAATGAGACACATGGATCCACAGGAATGAGGGGCGAAAGTGGCCTCATTCCCTTACTTTCGCCGCCCCTTACGCTCCTCGTTGTCCCGAACCCCGGTCACCGTCCTCAGCCCTCAAGTGGGATGGTGGAAGGAGTGGCGAATGGTGGAAGGAGTCTTCAAAGACTGTTGTTTCTGTTTCTGGTGGTGCAGGAGTTTGTCCCTGAGGAAGGTCCAGGTGGTGTGACCAAAGGAAACAAGTACCTCAAGGGCCTTGGATAATTGTTCTGAGAAGGGCGATGAGGTGATTCTTGGGACGTAAATCGTGTGATGAAGAGGGGTACACCACCCATACCAGTACCACCCATCACCCGCATTCACTTGGCTCCCAAATCCAGCTGGCACAGAATAATGTCCTGTCATGAGGGGTCGATGTGGTATTTGTTTTTCACTTGGGGGTCTCAACGTCAAGAACGTGTCTGGCGGAGATTGCTGGTGGATCTCAACATATTCAGCTGCACCAAATCAGCTTGAACTTCTCCAACGATTCTTCGCGTGACGAGGCACCGTGAGGGGCGGCAGACAGCGAGCCACTAGGGCCTTGGACAGGCACGTCGAGGCTGGATTCCTACCAGCACCTTCAAAGGGGTCACCAATGGAGGCCCCCACACCACTAAGGGACCTCCATTGGACACCCCTTGAAGGTCCAGGTAGGTTAATACTTAAACACATAGACATAGAATGACATATATAGATACATCCAGCGACTAATGATTTGCTGGTCTTTACTGAGCAAGTATACTAAGGATTTTGGACTACGAAGCTGGGCCAACCTTCCCTTTTATATAATGCGTGGAAGTTGGAAGGCTAGTGCTAGGGCAAAGAATGTACTTGCGCCCCAGGCCACAGCCATTCTCAGGAAGCATTTCTCGCCTTCCCATGCATTCCAACACATGAAATTATGGGGTTTTGAACCTCTTGACGCCTCACCTTCGCTGGTGGGGTACCCCTTTTCATTTTTCTTCACTCTGACATGATACTGCTGGCATTTGGCCATGCTCAAACGAGCACTCACTTGAATAAAGCTGGGTGAATAGGCTGCGACCGAGTTCATCCGAGCTGGATGTGACTTCAAAGCTGCAGAATGGAACACTATACCGTTATCTAAGGACCCTGATGCAGAAAATCAACATTAATGATCATTACTTAATGTGCTGGAAAGAAAAACCTTCGGATCAATCATATGTTGGATCCTTCCAGAGATAAAACATAGAACACCACACATCCCCCCCACTCCTCTTCGTTTCTTCTACCGACGGACGACGGGACTGGTCTCGCGTCACACGCTACCGGGCAAGGGTCCGCACCACATCCGCGTCGACCTGGCGGGCAGGAGGGGTGGGCGGTCAACCGGTACTACCGGTTCCGGACATGGAGACCAAGACCTCCCCAGGAACGAAAGAGGTTTTACATGGGTTTTTTGCCCATCCATATCTGGGTGAGGAGGGGGGGAATCCATTGACACAAGATGTTTTGAGACTGATTCATGCTTGAAGGTGCCTTTGCCATTTGACGGAGGATCCATTGGTCGGAATCACTGCACGTGGTAGATCTGGAAGGCTCCTTTTCCATGGTTTTTCCAGCACCCGGCGTCGGAGCGTGGAACGGAGCTGCATCGAAAAACTGATCAATCTTCCAACTGTGCAACACATCCTGCCTGTTCATATTTATTTGTCATGACATGTCATGACAAAAAAACAGCCAGGTTCGGAAGAAATGTTGCATAGTTGGAAGATCCAGGTATATCTGCTCTCTCTTGTGCCCTTTCCACGGAGTAGGACCCTGATCAAGCTCATACTAATCTTAATTGCTGACTTAGCATGGCATCAGTGATTGCCATCAAATCTGCTTTCCTGGGAGAAAACTCCAAGACAATCTTCTCCCCGGAAGCACAGCCAGGTTTGAAAAATCAGTTGGACCACCAGGTTCTGTGTATGCGTCCCCGATCAAGCGTGCCGGTCTTCACGCAAAGCTCATTGCGTCCTGCAGTGGCGTTGCACAGTGGAAAAACAAGTGAAGGAAATTCCACCAGCATGACACCCTCGTGATGGCTCCTCCATGCTCCCCTCCTCATGATTTGCCCTCAAAACATTTTGTCTCAAGTCATGCAATTCGGTAATCCCAAATTAAGTTTCTCAATATCCCCTGTTTCTTTAGCACTTTCGCACCCACATCATACTTGATGATGGGCTCCTACTGTCAATACCTGCAATACCTCCTATACTCTCTTCCAAACCGTCACACCCACGCCTGCACAGTGTAGCAAGCAGCTGACGCCCACATCCGCCACACTGGCACGTGACCAGGGCGCCAAGAAGGATGGAGGCCTTGAAATCGCCAGATGTTGGGGAGCTTAAGGGCTGGGCGATGTCCACAAAGCGGATGACGTCTGGTCATGGGGTCGGGTGCGGTTCATGCCGTCAAGAGCGCAGAGTTGGAACAGGTGAACTGCACCAATGCCGATGTCCTACATCCAAACATCACCATATGAAACACCTACAGTATATGCTTAATTAGCCATACAAAAAGACATATAACACGTCAAACAGCTCACTGGCTATGGAGAAAACTGACCGCAGCCGGCGCCACGACCGGAAACACGCTGGAGGCGCGGCGCAGGAGGGGCGAGGCTGAGCTGGGCGTCCCCAACAGGAGCCCGGTGGTACGATGAGCTCCGCTTCCAGGAAGAAGTTCAAACCTGAAAAGAAGAAACAGAAAATCGATGGATCCTTCATATAGACGTTGATTTATTTGAATAGCATTATGCATGTGTTCTGTGTTCTCAGGAAAACTACACCAGGACACGCGGACTAGGTTTTTTTTTTTTGATAGTTCCTGAAAGAGGTGATTCAGGGTGTCCAGAAAAAACCACCCCGACTGTCATGGTAGACGTTGATCATTTGTAGCATTTTGAAAAAGCGTGTATGTATCCCATACACTCCATGTATGCCATATATGCCTACATTTGGGTGGGTTTGGGGGTCAATGTAGGCATATATGGCATACATGGAGTGTCTGGGTATAGCTAGATGGTGTTCGGTGTTCACAGATGCTTCCCTTGATACGACCACATACGACCGTTTTGCTTGTCACCCAAAAACACATCTGGTGGCAAGAGCTGATGATGAAATCATAAGCAATCCACGATAACTGAGGATCTCTGAGGATCGCATCGAGGTTCACCTCAGGATGATCTCTTGAACTTAGATATGCACGTGAAGCAGCACGGACAAATGGCATCATTTGCATCCACAACAAGGCCTGAAGGCCTTGTGCAGAATGCTTCACACTTTGTGCACTCTTGAGCTGCACAAATCACGTTTTGAAACAACACACACACACACCCTGGAAGAGACCACATGGAACGTGAAAACCATGCCTTCAGGTTAGTTGATCTTCCCGGGTGTAACACCCACCTTGTGCCACCTCCCGCTGTGTCACCCACCGCTTTCAGGGGCCCCAACTCGACCGACGGGATCATCATGAGGCCGCTGCGCTGCCTGACGTGATCCGCGCGGCTGACGGGATCAGGCACGTTGAAGGACCGTTTTGTTGCTTTGGATTTTGGACCCACTTGGATCCATTTGGGTCTTTGACGTCCAGACCTCTTCTGAGATGAGATTCCAAGGTCCGACGTGCACAGACCCTAGTCTGAAACCGGTTTCTCTCCACAAGCGCTGTCCCCGCGGCGGATCTTGGAAAGGTGGACTTCCTCCTCTGATCCAAAAGAATGTATACAGCAGAATTATCGTAGCATTGCGTTTCTTTTAACCCTGGCTCTTGCAGCATGACATGACATGAATCGTCTATTCAATCTCCTACAAAGTGCGACTGTCAGCACTGATCTTGGAGGCTTTTGGGGTTGTTTCAAAAAGGAACCGGTCTTTACGCTTTACGTGTCCATACAGGTGAAGAAGTCCCTCACCTCCCTGCCTCAAAAACGGGGAAGAACTGCCGGCCAGGTAGAGCACGGTATCCCCTTGGGTGACGTGCGCCAATCAACGCGGTACTCGATTGGCCCCAAGTCAGTCCCCCCCCCCAAAGTGAGGTACGCCAACCACTGGTTTGTGGAAGCTGGTCTTCAGTTTCGGTCCATTTTCCAGGTTGGTTATGTCGGGTTCCATGTCTGGTTCTGTGGCCGCTTTCTTTTGAGTCACCCCAGGCCAGGGACTGCTCTACACAGTGGATTTGTACCGCGCAAAATGTCCCGGCCGCCACACTTCCGCTTTCTGTCCGCGTTGTGTCCCTGGCTTTTTTTGCTATACCGTTTTCCGAATCCACTGTTTTCAGGTTCCCGATACCTGAACACGGGGCATGGGAAGCTAGAAACTTCCAAGCTATTTGTAAGGACAATAATTCAAGCAGCGTTTGTTCTGCCCAGTTCAATTCGCCAATGACCTCACCAGATTGGCTAAACACACTGACTGGATCACGTTTTCGTCATTATAGTACACTTCTACGACCACATCCCTGCTTGGAAAGATCCATCTATAACCTTTGGAACAGAATGATTTGCCTTGGTATCCACGATGTTGTCTTAAATGCAATGGTTTCCAACCATTCACTTGAAGATTCCAGAGACACACGTGGCCCAGAAAAAGAGTTCTGGACGTTCACGGACAAGAGTTCCAAGACAGTCCCCTCGCTTCCACACGGTCCCTCGTGGATGTGTAAGGTCCTGGATGCCAAGGCACCAACGGTGACCAGGTCACAAAGAATATATGTCCATTTCCAGGACCGAAAAAAAACGCCCGGTGGTTTTGGACACCCCTTATATAACCACTAAGAGGCTATTTAGAGACACCTCGACTGGAAGGTCCTGGTTGTGGTTGCCTTTTTGGGGTTGGATGCATCTAACAGCACGAGGTGTCAAACAGCACCAGGTCGAAGCTTGGATGTTCTGAAAAAACATGATCAATCCCCAAAAGCTAGCTCTGCGGCTCAAAAACCTGCAGGAATGGGAGCTTGAAACATATTGAAACCACCCCAAGAAACCTTCTAGCAGGTAGCAAGCCTGGAAGTCCACCATTTTTGATGATGCTCTCACTCGATGACCTCACCCGAATGAAAAGGACATGTCCGCAGACTTGGGGCGTCTCCAAAAATCATCTTTGGAGTTCTATCGTTCCCAAATACTCCATGGGACTGCCATGTCGGACTGCCTTCATTTCACGGCCGATGGGGTGGTGCGTGCCAGAGGGGTCAGACTCTGGGGCAGAACGGACTGGCAGTGCCAGACAGGTCGTGTCTGGGGTCCAATCAATTCATTCACACTCATTTTGAGATACACAGCTTTCCACCCCTCGCATCACCTCCGCCAGGGAGGGCCGGCACCTGTTTCCGGCGTCCCACGTCTGTCTGTCTCAGCGTGCGTGCTGCGTCCGCAGGTCTCTGAGAACCCCCGGCGCCACCGCAAGCGCACCAGGCCATGGTAGCTGTTCCGCGGGCCCCTGGCTGGCGGCACGCGTGCCGGGCGCCGAAGTCGCGCGAGGGCGCGAGGTCGCGAGGAAGAGCGGGAGAGTGAGTCTGACTCTTACGAGGTCTTGGTGGGAAGAGCAAGGTGGATTTGGAGAAGCAATGAGAAGCCAACCCCGTTTTGTCAGGTCATGTAGACTGTAGACTCTTGAGGAGCATAAACCCCCCATATGAAGAGGATGTTCAATTCAAATGGGGGGGTGTATTAATCAAGAGTCTACATTAAAGCGTGTGCTGGTCAGGTCGTATGGTCCACTATTCCATGATTCGACCGGAGGTTTAAGAAGTTGAAACTGGTCCCTACTGCCTGTTTCACGCTGTAGCTCAACCCCTCAAGAAATCCCTGGAGTGATCTCATCCGCGTTTCTGCCATTTGCTGAATCTCCAAACTAACGATTGATGGACTATTTGCCTATAGATTGGGGTGGTTTTGAGATGTTTTGAGTGGAAAAAGACACCAAGCACCTAATCCATTTCATGCATTGCTGGGCTTGCACTATGGCAGCCCCTCATCCCTCCACCCTTCAGCCCCTCCAAACGCGCGACACGCCGTCGGGAAGGCGTTCCAAACCCCCCCCCCCGAAGGCGCAGCAGTTCCAAGCTCCGGCCCCGGCTCGGCCCCCGCGGCAAATGGGCCGCCTGTCGGGGGTGCTTCCGAGGCCGAAGTACTCCAAGAGTGGCACCTGGCGAGGCGACTCGATGCGACTCGACTTCCGAGGCGACTCGATGCTACGTCCCGCGCCTGTGGATAGGATAAGAGAGACGAGGAAGAGGAGGAGGAAGAGGCGAGAAAGTAGGGATCGCGAGTCGCGAGGGCGTGTATATTTTTGGGGGGATCGGAGACGGTGATTATTGGGATGAGGCGGAAACATCTGTTAAGTACGTATAAGTCAATTTCGGAGAAAATAGCTTCTGTACAGCACCCGAGGCAATGCTGGGTGCTGGATCTATTGACAGCGTGGATCTATTGGAAATTGATGGAAATTGAAGATGCTTCATGAACTTCTTTCCAAGTGGTGCAGATATACAGAAATTCAATATGACCACATCGATATTTGCAAGACTCCCATACGTAAAATTGCAGTCAAGCATATATAGGCTCTGGATGTGCTGCGTCATCTGACTCATGTGTGGCGCCACGTCCAAGAGAGCGCCTCGGCCCAATAAGATGCCCACCTGGTAGGTCTTTGATCGCTGCTAGTAACAAGAAGCTACTAGGAACGGTCTTTGAAGCTACTAGGAGCAAGGACACTACTAGGAGGTCTTTGAAGCTTTCTAGTAACAAGAAGCTTTCAGCTTTCTAGTAACTAGTAAGCTTCCTTGGGAATCGTTTCACCTGTAACAACGAAGCTACTTAATGACCTTCCAAAAGCGCGCCACCCCTCCATTCCGGCCCCCCCAACGACCAAAACCGCCTGTCCGGCCGTGAAAACGGCCTGCCTCGGCCGACCCGTTACCCGGTCCCGGACGGATGGTTCTTCTTTGACGAAGAGCGCGCAAAAGAAGCCAATCGTTTGGTCCTCCCAGCTGCTGCGCACACAGCGCGAAGCGACCTCTTCGAACTTGGGGGACCCGCGCCTGGGCCACCTGGGCGAGTGGCTGACTCGTGGTGCTCAGCGCGATGGCTTCGTGTTCGATTCCAGGTGCTCATGATACAGTTGGTGGGTTTCAGCTCAGAAACTCTTTAAAACATACTGTCAGTAGGTGAAACATCATCCCAAGATAAGGTTGACAATAAAAAGATCCTAACCACCTACATGATGAGGGTGAGAACCCTTCAGCCTCTGATTCAGGCGCAAATTGACAAGTCAATCAGCGTTTGGGTCCTGTCCTCAGCCTGCTAGATGTGTGAAATTCTCAGCGAAATGCAAGCAACATCCAACGGTTCACCAACCATTATGACTATAACCAACCAAACCACCTATCAATTTGGCTTGGAACCATAAACAAACCACTTTACTCGCTTCACTATCCTCAAATGCTGCGCAGATGTTGCGTTTTGCGCTTCAGAGTACCAATGTGACGCATGGCGCAATGTGGCGCAATGTGGCTTTTCCAAATACAATCATGTAGTATATGACAATGAGCGATAGTAGGAATCCTCTACAGCCCCTACAGGTTAGGAATTGACCTCATTTTGCTGGATTTGATCATGCGAAAGGACATGACCTCAATGAGGTAAAGGACCTGGACCTGGACAATTCGTCTTTGATTTGGACCTGGATGGGATCCCTATGAGGCTATGAGGGCCCGATGACAAACCCCATGGCGCACGGGTGATTCATGGTACATCTGAGATCAACTCTCCACCTCCACAAAATTGCAACTGCAAGCTGTAAGCTGCAATACCTCCCGTTGGACGCGTGCCCAATCCACATACATCCACATATACCTGGACCTTCAAGGGGTGTGCAATAGAGATCCCTAAGTAGTGTAACCTCTTTGAAGGTGCTGGCACTTACTCTGAACTGCCATGAACTGCCAAACAACAGCACTTTTGGCTTCCTTGAGACCACGTAGAGGCAGGGCGAGGTGTTTTGAGGGCAAGGCGCAGGAGTGGACAGTGCAAGTGATTAAATGATTAGGCCCCAAGACCACAACCGGCACCTTCCCTGCCAGGTCGACCTGCGTTTGGGTGGCTTTTGGTCGACTTAAAGAGTGGACCTGGTGGTGACCTGGCAGTGAGGGTTGGTGCGGAGGGTGCGCACTGGGAGTGGACAGGTTGAGGCCACGACCAAGGCAGCGTCGCTTCTAGTTCAAAGTGTGCACCGAGCTGGTCTTGCAAGACCTGATGGATGCGTTGAAGGTCGGTACAGCTGCAGGGCCTGAGCCTGATATCTTCCACCTCTCAGCACAAAACCATTTTCTCACCATGTTCAAAACAGCCCTTGGGCTCCAAAACCCACAGAGGTTGAATGGTGCAGTATGTCCAGCATGGTGCAGTCACCAACATATTTTATATATCATATTATACTAATTATATCAAGTATATCATTGTGATGAATTGCTTGCGCTGAGATGCATGCTGCACAACCTTTTCGTTCTCCTCCTCATAAATGGAACAGGTTGAATAAGCGATGCGCTCACAGGCAGGAAAGCGCATAGCATGCAGGATCACCTTCTTCTGATTTTCCGCAAGCTGCTTCACTGCCAGGTCATCTGAGATGGGTTGTGCAGTCATGCCTGATGATGAGCAACTGGGGTCCAGCAAGAAATGGGTCACATTCCGGTACCTGGCATCCTCCGGGGAAGATTGTAGGAAGTCCTGCACACTTCGTCACGAAACGCTCCGCACAATTGAAACGAAAACACAGCAAAGCAACTCCTGGATTAAGGAACCTGGAAATATCTTCCCCGGAAAGGGATTTAACCATAAGGACAATTAAAAAACAACAATCATTGTAATTATATGTTATTATAATAAACCAGGTTTACATTGTGGAGGTTGTCTCAAAAGACTGAGGCCATTTTGCATCAAACGCAGTCCTTCTCACAGGCTTCGACACAAGTCACATGCCTCTGCTTCAGCAAATTCATCATCGTCCGGAGCCGTCGACCGTCCCGATCAAAAGCAAAGATGGTTCCCTCGTTCTTCATCATGGCCTTGGCACACCCCAAGGCTAGGAAGGCCAGGAAAGGTCAGGATCATGGCCTTGCCCTCCGACTTGGCTCGAAAACAACGTGTGTCTTCGTCTCATGTGCCCTACCTGGGCGAACATGTCGTGCCTCTTCAGGTATGTGGACCCGTTGACCCTCCAAACCCACCCCAGTCCCACCTTCTTATAGATGGTACGACTGGAGCCCATCCGGGATGAGTGTTTCAAGACGCTCAAAACACCCCCGAAGACATGAATGATCATGAATGCTTTATGTCCAAGACATGATCCATGGTGGATTCTTTCTTGGGGCCCCACAGGTCGCGATTCGGAAGCCAACACCCCATGATCCGATGTACTTGGGCCGATCGACTACGCCGATCGGACATCGATCTGAGTCTAAAGACGGAAATGGCACCAGCGAAGTGGACATGCCTTCCAAGAGAGGTTGAGAGACCGCTTCACGTTCGGACCCCATAGTGGTACCTATGGGATGGGCGACCTTAAGGCTGTTCAACCTCTCTTGGTTGAACATCAGATCAGCTTCAAGACATGTCTACATGTCTTGGACCTCCAGTGACTGCAAGAACCTCTGCGGAGGTTCTCGCCACGGAACATGGGACATGAAAAAAAAAAACACCAGCAATCACGTGACAGACGGGGTGCCGGTTCCGAACGGAGGAAGGAGTACAGGTGCCCATAACATCCAATCACTGGATGGGGTGACTAAACACCACCCAGGCCCTCCATGTGACTGCTGGCAGGTACACTAATTAGTAGCCATGAAATCCCAGGTACGAACTCACGGGATGACTCTAGGTAATTACCCTAGAAATCCAGGAACCGACGTTATTTTGACCGACTGAAGTCAAGGAAATTCCTGGACTCGGGTCACCTAAAGACCATTCTTTCTATAGTCTTTGACTCCCAGGGTTGCCACTTGCTACGAGATTAGGTACTCCTGGCTAACCGAGGACTGCGGAGGACTCCGTGCAGACAGTCCGTAGGACTGCCCAGCTGAGGCACTGCCATCTGAGAAGTCTTTGATCCAGGTGCCTGTGAAATGGGATGGATTGGCCCATGAGGGTAGTTGATTTCAGCACAGAGTGAGGGGTCAAACCCACCCAGATGTGGATCAAAAAGCATGTTCGAGTTGTTCGAGACCCTACATGTTGCACTCATTTTTTCTAGGTTTTGGGAAGCTGTTGCCTTGTGTCTTCATCTCTTTCCAGTTCCTCCGCTCGCTACCTGGGTCCTGTCTGTTCACATGCACGGACGGCAATTCTTCGACAGGACGGCAAACCAAATCCAGGACGGGAGAAGTGAAAAAAAAATAACATGTCCAGCGCTACTAGCACTTCCTGTCTGGGTGCCCTGAAGTAGACCTATATAAGTAGTGTGGGGTTGTCCAGCCAGGACACCCATTGGATGGTTTGGATGGTCCAGCTTTGTAACAGAAAATTGACATAAACCAGCAGTCACAAGCCGGGGTGCCGAACTTGGAGGTAGTCGGGGTGCCCAGCTACTCCACAGCCCCTGGATGGGACTGAAAACCACCCAGGCCCTCCATGTGACTGCTGCACATCATTGGACAGCCACGGTGCCGCGCAAGCATCGATCACCTGAGCACCTGGCGCTGGCTCCAGTGCTAGAGCTGGAAACATGGACGCCTTCTGCTGAAAGACCAAGGCGCCCTCATCGAACAAGTTCACCTCAGCAGAACTACTGATTTTCTTCGAGCTGAAAACTGGCTAGCCCAGGGGCCCAGGTCTATTAATCAGTCTTGCAACTGAAGCAGGTTCCATGCTACAGCTGCTTCCGTTCGGGGTGACCTGGCTGGACAAGCCTGCTGGACAAGGTCACCAACAGGTCCATGCTACAGGTGCGTTCTCCATGGAGGAAGTCGGGCTGGTCACATCCACATCCACATGGGTCGAACTAAACAGCTCAGAACTGCAGGAGGTCGAGTCGCTTCTGGCACTGAGTGGAAAGCAGACCAGCTGACCTGTTCACCAGCTGACCTGACCCTGGTTCCACTAAACCACGGGACTCCTCTGGTGGCTGAAAGACGGCCAAGTCAAGAAGCT